GGAACAGAGGATCAAAGACTTTGGAAGATATCATTGGATCTCAACAAATGAGTTGTAACAAGAGTGGCGTTGGCTTTGGTGGTAAGAAAGATCAAAAACAGAGTGCTTCAACATCTCATGATACAAGAACTCAAGGAAAGGGAGAACAAAAATTTCAACATAAGGATGGACTTCTCAAACTTCCTAGAGTTGGTAAGGTAAAAGAAAAGAAGGTACACCCTAGACTCCCTGTTTTTATTTGTCATCATTGTGGTATGCATGGTCATATTCGCCCTTATTGTTATAAGTTGCATGGGAGAGTGCCTCAAAAGGGTAGAAATTCGACTTACATGTCTAGGCGGAATACCAAGATTCATGAGGGTGTTCACTACACCACGATACTTACCAAGACCGCTAGACCTGATTTTATTAAGACCAAAAAGATTTGGGTGAGAAAACTTGATTTGTGTTAATTTGTTTATTTGTTTTAGTTTTTGGATTTTTGTGTGTTTTTTTTTTAAAAAAAGTGTGCTTGTTCATTTTTTTTTTTGTCTTGCTTTGGTTAAGAAAAAAAAAAAAAAAAAATCCCAAAAAGATTTTCTTAGTATAGTTTTGCAAGCTTGAAATTTTTGAGTGGTCCTTGGTACATATTGGAATTGATGAGAATATCCATTACATGTTAATATGTGTGTGCTTTCTGTGGTCATTACTCATTTTGGAGTGTGTGTTTTTTGATTAGTATGTCTCATTCTGTACACACTCTTGGATTAGCAAATTTTGGAGTCTTCCTCCATAGTGATTATTTTTTTATGGACTTCTGGCATTGTATCTTTTGCTTTTCTAGAGGAATTGACCTATACTAGCATATCTTGGGTGATGTTGAGTCTCTTAACCACCTACCATCCTTTTGCATCTCCATGTCTTTCCCCTTAATTCTTTGTAGTCCAGCCATGAGGAAAAGGCTACCTCAGAGTCACCAACCAGGCCATCCTTATTATATCCATGCTTCTCCAATGCAATAGCCACTCTCCTGGATACGGATGGCTTCAAAACCCTAAAACCATTGGGCATGGACTTGTTACACTTTTCCCCTTTGAGCGGCTCGCTGGGCCGAAAACCCGGAAGGGCGACCCAGGCAAAAGTTAGAGCAAAAAAAAATATATACAAAAGAAAGAAAAAAAAAAGAAAAAAAAAAGAAAAAGAAAAAAAGATTCATTGATTGAGGGGAAGCCTCCGCCTTTACTCACCAAATACCCCTTGATTCCTAGTGGTTTGACTTTCCTTTGTCGTGCTTAAGATTCTCTTTTCGGAGGTCCGGCTTTCATATCACTACCAGGATTGAATCTCGTGTTTGTCGAACTCCAAGTCACACACACACTTTTTCTTATGGGATCTATGCTTTTCACATAATGCATCACTTTCTTTCATGAGGCATATTTTAAGTGTGATTAATAACATTTAGATCATATCTTTTAAGTGTAATTAATAACTAATAAAATATGTGATAAAAAAAAGGGTTCGACATATTTGAAACATAATCAATATTGTTTTTTTATATACATTTGAAGAATGTAATACACACTATATACTATAATTTGAATCATAACCACATATTGAATGGAATAACGTCATATATTTTATAAATGAAAATTAAATGTTCAAAAGTCACAAAAGAATTAAATAAAAAAAAATTAACTGTGCTTACATATATTAAAAATGAAAAAACTTAAAAAACTAAGTTCTTTAATTCTTTGACCATATTTTGCATCTCTCCAAGAAATTTCTGAGCTGAAAAATGAAAACACAAATTAATTCAAAAACCGCATAAACATATGAATAAACTAACTATTTATAGAAACTATTCTAGTCTTACAAAAGATACTGTCGGACTTTTTCTCATCACACTGACTTTTCATCTCCTGTTTCGATAGAAAAAGAATAGCCACTTTGATTGAATAATCAATTCTCATGGAAAAAATGGACCAAATATCTTAAGATAGCTAAATCTGAACTGTTAGGTTTTTATTCTTGGCAACCCCGTTTGACAAAACTCCTTTCAGATGTATTATTTTTCGCACTTTTATTTCAGTGAGGCTATGAGTTTATTAGATGCGAATCAAAACCCGAATCGAACCATGCAGAGAAGTTTGTGATGTTAACGCTTTCAAGATTGCCACTTCGCTGAGCTCGCGGCCGAAGCAAAATGCAAAATTGCATTCAAAATTGCATGTCCGTCGTTGCTCGCTCGAGCCAAGGAGTTCTCGCTCGAGCTAGGTCTCGCTCGAGCCAAGGAATGCGCGCTCGAGCCAAGGATTGCGTCCATACAAAAACCTGAAAGAGTGTATTCCTCGCTCGAGCCAAGGCACTAGTAGAAATCATGAAAAATACACTGCTCGCTCGAGCCAGAAAAGATTCGCTCGAGCGAACCTCAGAATCCGGATTTCTCAAGGAGTTTGTTTTCTTCCCAATCTTGGATTACTTTTGATTCTCTATAAATACTTGGTTTTCTCCCAAAACTAAGTGATTGATTAAAGTCCGCCAGATCTTCTTTTTGGTTCTTAAAGTTTATATCTGGGGATATTTTGTTTGTTTTCTTTGATGTTTTTATTGAGTCTTCAACTCATGATTTAAAGAGAGTACATCAAAGGTTTGTTTGTTATACACAAAAGAGAGAGTTATTCTTCAGTTGTGGATTCTGAAGAATTCGAGCCTGAATCTTTGGTGGAATCCGGAGTGGCTCATCAGAAAGACAATTCCGTGGTGAAGATGGGGTTGGAAGAGGCACATAGAGGTTGGTTCAATTAGGCGTTGTGGATTCGCTAGGTAATTGAGAGTATACCTGTGTAATTCCTTTAAATCTTCTTAGTGGATTGTTCTTGTGGCTGTTGCCCGTGGTTTTTTGATCACAATTGGAGGTGTCCAATTGTGGTTTTTTTCCACGTTAAATCGTTGTGTCTCTTTGTCTTGATTGTTTGATTGTTTGATTGGGATTGTTATATTCTGCTTAAAATTGATACATAATCACAAACCAACATTTAGGGGATTTCTAGATTTTTCATAAAGTTATAATATTTTATAACATGAAATGTATGTCGTCTTAAGTGCAAATATTTTACGACATATTTTTGTAAGTCGTAAAAACACATATTTTTTACGGCACACTTTTGCATACCATAAATATATGAATCAATGACTTACATGGTATGTATGCTGTTATTAACAAAACATTAACGGCTTGCCAAAAAAAAATGCCGTAGAATGTGCTAACTACGACATGCATTTAATGCATGTCGTAAATATGATGCCGTGAATAATTAGTTTTGTTGTAGTGTAACATGTTAGTCTCACATAATGGATGAGTTTTTTTTATTATTTTTTTTCAAACAGAACAAAAAGATGTTCTGTGGTGTTATTACGATATCTGTGAGCCTAGGTTTTGGATAATCGGTTACCAGCTTAACTTGACCCAACCACATAATGGATGAGTTTGTTCGTGTACTTTTCTTTGTAAAGGCTTTTTTTTTTTTATTGATAATTGAGAATTAATCTTAGACAATCGTTCTTTGGCCCCAATAGCACAATTCAAAATATGTGCAACCACCTGCTAATCTTACATATCGGGCGAAGTAGGATATAAGGACTAATAGAGCGTGGGCGACTTACCTAATTCTCACTGTTCTTTGCACATAGCATTATTAAAACTAGTGTTTTTTTTTTTTTATTTTTTTATCGGTAAAAAAAAATATTATTAAAACTACTGTTTGATGAAACAAAGACAGAAAGACTGTTCGATGGAGAGAAATTCAAACTAAAATATGAGTACTCTAGATGACACTTAGCAAATAAGTGCATCTTTGCTCATTATCATTTACAAGCAAAGTAAGTACGTGTCTACAACAAGAAGCATGGACAAAATCGAGCTCCTCCTCCAAACGGAGCATAAAATGGACTGCTTCTCTAATTTCTCTTTTCCTTTATATAGGAAACAAAAATAAAAACAAAAAAATAGCTTTTATTTATTTATTTTCAAGAGTAGATGAAAGCAAAGTGGTAATATGCAAACAATAAGTCTAGAAACACATAAATCAAATACAGAACAAAACAAGACACAAAATACATCAATGGACACAAATTTTCAAAAGTAGGTCCCATCAACAAATGCTGTAAATCCTATCCACTCATGTGTTTTTGTGTCCAGTTTTGTATTCCTAAACTTGCTATTATGTAACATATAGATATATACATAGTATAATTAGCGAATCTAAGTGTGCATCTCTGTTTGACTGACCTGATTCAAAGGGTCCATCCATCTCCATGGATTGAAAGTGATCGCTCCTTCATACAAATTTTCATCTAAATGGACTGCTGAAAGAAATGGAACCACAAAACATCCTTTGGGAATGACATAACCTGCAGCCAAGCAACATAAATGAAAAGAGATTAATTAGTCAATTATTTGTTCTTGCCAAATACATTTTCTATTTTTCTAATCAAAGGAGGGGGGAAAAAACATTCGAAATATCTTAAGCTTTTACGGAGAATAAACTAAATTATATATTTAGACTTTGTCAGAAAACATAATATTACCCTATTCCTACTATTTAAAATGTACTTAATGTTAATAAAACATGCTCTAAACATAATATTACCCTATCCCTACACAAAGAATTTAATGTTAATAAAACATGCTCTAAACATAATATTACCCTATCCCTGCACAAAGAATTTAATGTTAATAAAACATGCTCTAAACATAATATTACCCTATCCCTGCACAAAGAATTTAATGTTAATAAAACATGCTCTAAACATAATATTACCCTATCCCTGCACAAAGAATTTAATGTTAATAAAACATGCTCTAAACATAATATTACCCTATCCCTGCACAAAGAATTTAATGTTAATAAAACATGCTCTAAACATAATATTACCCTATCCCTGCACAAAGAATTTAATGTTAATAAAACATGCTCTAAACATAATATTACCCTATCCCTGCACAAAGAATTTAATGTTAATAAAACATGCTCTAAACATAATATTACCCTATCCCTGCACAAAGAATTTAATGTTAATAAAACATGCTCTAAACATAATATTACCCTATCCCTGCACAAAGAATTTAATGTTAATAAAACATGCTCTAAACATAATATTACCCTATCCCTGCACAAAGAATTTAATGTTAATAAAACATGCTCTAAACATAATATTACCCTATCCCTGCACAAAGAATTTAATGTTAATAAAACATGCTCTAAACATAATATTACCCTATCCCTGCACAAAGAATTTAATGTTAATAAAACATGCTCTAAACATAATATTACCCTATCCCTGCACAAAGAATTTAATGTTAATAAAACATGCTCTAAACATAATATTACCCTATCCCTGCACAAAGAATTTAATGTTAATAAAACATGCTCTAAACATAATATTACCCTATCCCTGCACAAAGAATTTAATGTTAATAAAACATGCTCTAAACATAATATTACCCTATCCCTGCACAAAGAATTTAATGTTAATAAAACATGCTCTAAACATAATATTACCCTATCCCTACACAAAGAATTTAATGTTAATAAAACATGCTCTAAAAATCATTTATGACTACCAAAGCACTGGTACAAGCATCATCAAACATATTGAGCACAACTCCACTAAGACGCAACCAACACTCCAAACATCGCAAGGATAACTCCACCCAAGCCCTGGACAATCATAAAAAAAAATTTACTAATTGGATATGTCTTCCAGTCTTAAAGGTACATCAGAAAAACGTGAAAGATAAGCCATAGCAGTTGAGAATAGCATACCCAGAATTACTTCTGGTGCCCGATAATGTCGAATTGATACAATGTAGCTCTGATCTTGACGATCATAAGTTGTGCTGCCAAAATCAATTACCTTGATGGCACTTGATTTTGGAACTTTTTTGAAGTAAGAACCATCCTTTGGCGATCGTGAGGAACCCTGTTCACATAGCATACAAGATAAGGTCTCAACACAAGTTAACAGTAGAAAGTCCACTATACATCATGTACAATATACATAGACAAGAAGAAGAAAGATTCAAATAACCACCTAACAATGCATTACCTTGTAATCTGGAACTTTAACATGCTCTGAAGACACTAGAAGAATATTCTCAGGCTTCAAATCCGTATGAATCAGATGCAAATCATGCATAACTGCAAATTAGAGAAATAAAGCCAAATATTAATGCATGTGATGAGGAAGCTAACTAAATACAAAAATCTTTAGCAAAAATCTTTGTATGAAAGAATTTGCAGCTTAAAAATAAAATTGAAATGAATTAATGTTAGCTTTCATCTATCACCAACCAAACCTCGTAAAAACAGAAAACGGAAAATAATATGATGAATTTAAAGAAACTGGTCCAAGTAATTACTACACACATGCTACACATTCCAACAGTTGTCTGCCAATCTCACGGACAAGATCAATTGGAAATGAGCGATAATTGTTTTTCCGTAGAAATTTGTATAAGCTTGGTCCAAGCTTCTCAAACACCTGTTAAAGCCATTTGAATCCATCCACAAGTCTTAACCCCAAAACATTCTTGAAATTGGGGAATTTAACCCACCAAATCAATTATATACTTACAATACAGATATGGTTACGATAGTCAAACCAGTTCCTTATTTGCACACAACTGCAAGGAATAAACCCATTTAACCACTGACACAGAATTTACAAAATCCCACCAAAACATGAGGAATAGCAGTGAGAGATTGAAACACATTAAACTCATGAAATAAAACTCACCGGTTGCCATCCTTATCATGTTTCCCAAGCTGTTGCAATACTTCAACTTCTATCATAGCTGCTTCACGATATTTCTTAATACCATGAACAATTTTAATGGCAGCCATATCCTTCCTTTCTCTGTCCCAACATTCCAAGACCTGGCCAAAGGTGCCTATATAAAATATAGATCAACAAAAACAAGATATGTGATGAGCCTGAAATTAAACTTCAGTAATATTATAATAGAAATATGTTTATTAAGAAATACCTTCGCCCATCTTGCTGTGAATCTTATCTGCACCCAAACAACAAAGCTACACAAGTACAATCAGAAACAAATAAGAATCTAATGAAGAAAAATTAATATAACAATATTAGACACATCAAACAACCTGCTTAGTATGAGTTTTGAGACAAAAATAATGCTTTGGATTTGTTTAATTAAAAAATTATGCATATATCCTTGAAAGTAGAGCTATAATCAAATGCAAAAGTTGCTATTAAAAGGATTTTAATAGGCCACATCAGAAAGCCACCTTATGGCTTTCAGTCACTTGCATAAAAACTTTATAAGGCAAAAGCCCTATTTAATGATAGCACCACCACATCAATGAAAAAAAAGCAATGGTGGTGCATGTTCATTTTAGTAACTTCAAAGTTCACAAAATGATCAAGTGAATTGAAAAATTAAAATATCTTTGGTGATGGTAGTGTAGTTACAGCGAGAAGTTAAATTTTTGCCAAGCGCAAATATGTAATGTCCATCTTTATCATCTTCTCGCCAT